GTTTTCTTTATACCAATTGATTTGTCTTATTATTTTATGCATAAAAGTATTAAGGTAAGATTCCCAAAAATTGAATATTTTACAAGATATTTTGTATTTTATGTCAAAATACTGTAATTTACAAGCCTCATAACTCGAAAAGTACTTAATGAAAAATAACTCTATTATAGTGTTTTGAAAAGCTCTTGACACCAGTTATTAGATTTTGGAATCAAAAATAGGAGTTTCTATTTAAAAAATCTAACCTAACCTTGAAATGACCTTGAAGATCAAGCTCAAGGTCAAATTGAAGGTCAATGTTAAATTCCTCGTTGAAAATTACTTCAGAAATGACCTTGACCTTTTTCAAAAATACCTTACATGAGAAAATATTCAGCCGTCCCGGGACTTAATTGACACCCTGTATATATATATATATATATATATATATACAGGGTGTTTTATTTTAATCTAGCCAGGCGAATATTTCAAACGCTGTTGAGTTTAGAAAAAAATGTTTCAGACAAAAGTTGTAGGGTTCGGAGGGGGACACAAGATGGTGGGCTTGAGTTTTTGATGAAGGTAAAATTGAAGGTCATATAAAGGTCAACTTTGTTTTTTTAAATGAAATGTAGTATTTTTTATGTATATATATTTCTTGAGCCTCAACAGAAAGTTAACTGTAAATATGTATAAGATTATATGAGAAGATTATATGTAAAAATTATTTATAATTAGCAAACACTTCGACCTGTTATCAAACCATCCTCAGTGTATTAAACACGTTCAATAAGTTAACTACCATAGTATAACGCGTGTTCTATATTATAATAAAAAAAATAAAAATAAAAATAAAAAAAGAGAGGAAAAGAGAAAGAAAGAAAAAAAGATTATCAAGCGCGGATGTCAAGGTGCAAAAGATACAAAAATCATTTAAAAAGTTCGCAATCTGACATATAAATATCAGTGCTGTATATAAAAGTTTTACCATTGTAATGCTATTTGTTATATAAATAGCTGTGAAATACCTGTAAAATAATCGATCTGTCAAGTTTTCTGTGTACAATTGTTTCAATAAGACCATCTCAGTATATTCTTTAAAATAGAAAAAATTGAATATTGTACAGTAATAAAATTTTTTTGTTAAAAGAGTTTAATGCTAATAGAAATTTTTAACAAAATGAAAAATGTGTTGGGTAAGAATACACCTTCATTTATAACTAAAAAAATAGAGGATTTAAATGTAATCGTACAAGCTTGGAAGATGATCCTCGCAATGGGCATTTAAAAAGTGCTACGACATCGGAATTCATCGATAAAGTGCATAATTTTTTGGAAGATCAATTCAAAATGTTTGAAATTGTTAGGGTTGTGAACATCTCAGATAAACGGGCATTTCATATCCTAACTAAAAATTTAAGTATGAAAAAATTACCTGCAAAATGAATGTCATATTTGCTATGGGTACATGCACATAAAAATGTCATTTCCATAGCAAAAACCAATTAATTAAAATTTGCTACCATATCCGCCTTATTTGCCTGATTTAACTCTTTGTTTGACTTCCATCTATTCGCAAATTTAGAAAAAGTTCTTGATGGAAAACAATTTTCCTCATATAATGAGCTAAAAGTTACAGTAAACGACTATTTTGAGGACTTTGAGAAATCGGACTTCCGGGATAGGATAAAGACACTAAAGCTACATAAAGTGTATCAAAGTTCAGAGAGATTATATTAAAAAATAAAAATAATTTTAAAATAAAAAAGACAATCTTTCATTATATATATATATATATATATATATATATATATATATATTTCAGTCAGTGAACTTTTCAAATAACTCCCGTATTACAATCGGTAGTTGCACGGTGTTTACACGTGATCACAACTACACAGAACCACAAAAAAAAGTTTTGGAAAATAAACTCAAACCAGAATAGGTATTTCTTATAGATTTTGGGTCACTGAATCGAATTCGTAAGCCATTTTGCTTCATCACGTCCAGTTTTTTAGATAATCGAGGAAAATGATGAAAAATCTGTGAAAATTGAAAGAAACATTTGAGGAAAAAACAAAAGTAAATATGACATTAAAATGCGGTCACAGAACTAATTTAAATATATTTTAGTAAGTTAAATAAAGTGCAAAATTTTTTTTATTTTTTGCACTTTATTTATTAAACTTATTAAAATATATTTAAATCAGTTCTGCGACCGCATTTTAATGTCATATTTACTTTTGCTCTTTCCTCAAATGTTTCTTTCAATTTTTACAGATTTTTTATCATTTTTCTCGATTATCTAAAAAACTGGACAAGATGAAGCAAAATGGCTTACGAATTCGGATTCAGTGACTCAAAATCTATAAGAAACACCTACTCTGGTTTGAGTTTATTTCCAAAAATTTTTTTTGTGGTCCTGTGTTATTAGTGAATTCGCTTCACTTTGCCCAAATTCTTCTGTTTCTAATACAGTTGACTCGTAATTTAAGCATGATTGATTTAAGGACAATTGATCTAATGCTCTCACAGCTCTTCCTCCTCGAAAGAAGAATCAAGTTCGTACACAACACAATTGTAATACAAAAGGAGATTGTAACACCACACTTTCCACTAACAAATAAATAAATGTTAACAGAGTGCATTGGTAAGTTTTATTAATTTAAATTGATCTCAGTCTTTTTTTACAGGTTACATTCTAAGACTGAAAAGAATTCAAAATTGAACCAAAACGTTTTTGTAGTTTTATTCTACATTGATTTGTAACATCTTTTACAACACCCGTGCTTGGTTCTCATACACGGAGAAAATTTTATATCAAAAATTACTATGTATGTCAGTAACCATGGACCATGAAGAAATTATAAAAATTTTTACTATGTTTTTCACATGTGAAACATAATAAAAATTTTCGGTTCGCGGCTTCACGGTCCGCGACTATTGCCGTACATAGTAATTTTTAATATAAAATTTTCTCTGTATAGCTCTTTTTTCTGTTGTTTTAATTGAAATACATAGGCCGAATTATTATCGCACAATAAACCAGATACAAATTAATAGAACTTTTAGTTATAAATATAAAACTAGAGGATCAACAATACGCGCACGTAACTCTTCATACTTCGAATTAATTCTGTGACTTCGTCCCCGTTAGTTATTAAAATAATTTTCATTGCAAAGTGTGCGATTTTTTAAAATCTATTTAAGTACCCAGGTAAAAATTTCCCTCAATCTTCCCTGAATATATACGGGCCCCGCATGGGAAATATTAGTTTGGAAAATCCAGACGGGTCCTGGCTTTTCGCTATAAATTTTCCACGATTTTTCCCAGGTTTTGGTTAAAAAATATCTATCTGTATTTTTTCCTGGATCTGACCGGGTCCGATCAGGGAAAAACCAGTATTTTTATTCTGAACTTTCAGGTTATGTTAACGTTTGTTAAATATTTTACGGCTCAAAATAGTAACACCTTAGAGCATATCAAAGAGTTACGGTTCGAAATAAAAGAAAAAATGGTTTAAAACGTACAAAATATGTGATCGCATATTCGCGGCTTCTCGTCTACTGTTGAAGAAGCGAAAATATTGGGCGAGGACAAAATTAGAAACAAAAATAGCGAACATCGAAACTGAAAGTGACACGTGTGACGAAAGTGACTTGATAAAAAACAAGTATTCGCGATCTAACAGTAATGAAGCTACTGATAGTGCTGTAAATGAGAATGTCTATCATGTACGCGACGAAGAGGAAACTGATGGCCTGAAAATATTTATGGAAAATAACAATTCAGAGCTCGAAGATGATATGTCAGATCCAGAAAGAGAAATCGAGAATTCAGAGCTCGAAGATGATATATTAGAATCAGAAAGAGAAATCGATGAATACAATAAAGGTCACAATAATGAGGACGAAATGGTTGATGAAATGGAAAAATTACGTCAGTGGATTGTAACCAACCAAATTCCACACAATCAAGCAGATGAGTTGCTGGATATTTTACGACCTAGATTAATGCCACTTTTACCCAAATCTACAAAAATGTTTATAGGAACGTCATCCGACAAATACAATATCGAACAATCCAGGAGAAAACCCGAGTAAAATAAGGGCCCTAGGCGGGATTCCAGTATAATTTCTAGGAAAAACCGTGGAAACAAGCCTGGGTACATTTTAGATAACGAATCCGTCCATGCCCGCCGTCCCCCATTACATATGGGTCCAAGCTAGATTTCCCGGACAGATTCAAGCTATACTCAGGAAAAAATATCCAGGGCCAGGCTTTCTCCTAGACCAGATTTCTACCTGAGTAAAATAGAATCTATTTAAATAAAAAAAAAGAAAAATTGAATTTTGATCCGATGTGTCTCGAATTTACGGTCAGTAAAACGAAGAAGACTATAAACATCCCAGACAACACGCATGTCTTAAACATCTGAAAGACGTTCAAAAGATATCATTTTTTTCAGATGTCTTTTATGCGTTTTTTATATATCTTTAAAACATGCGTGTTGTTTGGGATATCAAATATTGACACTTTTACCTTTCTATTATCCATAACTGTTATCGTTTCTATTATCAAAATGGAAAAGATGTACTCTCAATATATTATACATGTTCCGCGTGCTAACGTCCTGCTGCGACTCATATATTTTTGTATTTTTAAATTGGAGGATGTATCCCAGTGAAAAATGACAGATTGAAAAGACGTATGTAGATGTCTATTAGACATCTATAGACATTTTATATGTATATATCGACCTGTGTTTCTGACTGAGATAGTTTGGAAGAGGACTCGCGGAGTGTAGAACCGAGCTTGTAGAGTTTGAAAGTGTATAATAAAAAGAGTATAGTATAATTTCTTCAATGCCGGTAAATTTTTTTCTGGATAAAGTTTCAAAAACAATACCTCCAATTTTGATAAAACTATGGAAACTTTTTTTATTGCTCAAAACTCTTAAAGGGATTTTCGGCGACTTGTATGGAAAGATAATTTTTTAGGATCAAATATACTTTCACAATATATTTACATTTGTTAAAACATAATGAACTAAATACGTGAACGGGGGAGCAGCTTTACCTCTCCCCCTGCACTCTCTTCCACCCAAAAAATCTAACCAAACCTAATTCAATTCATGTCCGGGAGGCGAAGATCTTAACAAATCTTACCCTAACCTTAAGCATTAAATAAATTATGTTAAACTCCTTTTATTATGTACTTTCAAACTCCACAAGTCCGGCTCTGAACTCCGCAGGTCTTCTTCCAAACTACAGTCAAATTATATTTAACAAAAATTAAAATATAATTATTAGTTTACTTTTTACAAAAAAAAATATTTTTATTTTAAAATTTATTTTATAATTACAATTATAAATAAAAGTCTTATAATAATTTATAAGTTTATAAAATTAACATAGTAAATTTTATAATAGTAAATTTTATAATTTATTAATATATTTTTTTACATATGTATATATTTTTTTATGTACGCGTATAAACACAATATTTCATAAAAATTTATGTGTAAAAATGTAATGGCTTACATAAATATATTTAAATACCTGGAAAACGGCGTAAAAATCCTGTTGTCGCTCCATAATATTGCCATGATAGCGTAGGGTCACTTTCATAATTATTAACAAACAAGAGATCTAAATATTCACTCCATTGAATGCCTGATGCAACATCACGTTCTGCAAATAGAGTCAAATCAAACTATTTTAAAATAAGGTGCAACTTCTTTTCTTAAATTTAAGACACAGGTAATTGAATAATGTAAATATCAAAAATGCTATTTTTTCGCGCATATCTGCATTTATCGATTGATATCACGACTTATTAGAACTATTACATTGTCCTGCATGGATCTGTTATTTGAAAAAAAAAGAAAAAAAAGAGTAATTTTCTGTAGTTTTTTTCATGTATCAACTTTAATATCAAAAAATGTATATTACCTTGGACTTTTGAGATCATTATTTTTTGCATATTTTCCTTTGATTTGCTTAAAATAATATAATATGCATTTTTTAAGACTAAATATGAATTTAGTGCATAAAAAAATACAGAAAATTGCTTTTTCTGTTCAGACAACAAAAAAATGTTTAATTTTGTAGGCTACAATGCTCACCGTTGTCTTTAATTCCACTTGGCAAGAGTACAGCAGACAAAGTAACATTCACCGCTAAATGGTCAAAGTGACGATTTGCAGCGAGAAACATCTCCTGCGTACCAGCGGAACCCTTTTCATCGCTGACCAAATTGTGAAGCCGATGCGAGGCATAATATTTAGGTGACACATTCCCTTCTCTTGGTGCCGCTACCGCGGCTTGTTCGGCACTCTCCACTAATCTCTGCGGTCGTAACGTTTTATGTAATGATTAATGTTATGTTTTAAACATGCATATATGTATCTTTTTAGTTAGCATTTGTTAGCTATGTAGCCGTTTTATTCAATTTTTATTTGATTAAACATTGATTTAACGTTTAGAGTTCGATCCGTTAACATGCTGTAGGCAGACATAATAATAATGTTTCTCAGATCACGGAAATGACACAGATCAACTTTTACAAAAATAAGAATTCTTAAACGATTCAGGCTTCTTAAATAATACTTAAATAATACCTAACCTAACCAGAATAGTCCAAAATCAATCGTACTTTTTGTTAGTTTTTTTGTTAGTTGCTTCTTTTTTTCTTCTTTATTTCTTTTTTTGTCTTTGATCTTTTTTCAAATTGAGTTTTCTTCATTAATTATTATATAATAAAACAATATATACATATGTTAGATAACTAAAAAAGTTCTTATCGTTTTTCGTTAGTCATAATTCTCGAAATTATTTATATCAATCATGACTAATTGTGCAGGAAATTTTTTTTATCGTAAATTACATACCTCACTTCATTTAATTACTGCAAATCCAAAATGTGAAGTTCAAGTTAAATAAACATTTTAACTTTATAAAATGTCTTTAAATGAGTGTGATTTGTGCTGAATTATTGTATGAATTTAAACTTGGATTCAAAACGTCAAAAACTCGCCGAAAAATTTATTCTGCATTTGAAGAAGATACAATAAAAAAAGAATCACTTGACATTAATTTCAAAAATTTGTATCAGGAGATAAATCCCTGGAAGATGCTTTCGGGGAGACCTCATCTCTGAATAATGATGAATTGAAAGTAACAATCGATGCAAATTCAAAATTAACGTGTCAAGAACTTGCAATTGCATTCAATATAAGTGATAAAACCATCAAATTACATCAGTTCTCAAACAATTTTAAAAAATATGACTATCGAAAAAATGGCAAACCTTTTTTGATTATCTACTATTTCTTAAAACTACACTATTTTTTTATCACTTACAAATTAGCTAATCAATAACTCTGCTATTACATTTTGTAAAGTAAAGATTTTATTTTTTATAACATAGAAAATGCACAAAGTCAGCAAATATTTTAACAAAAATACTGTAAAAAATAATTGTTTATCGTAATCTTTCCAATTTTTTTAATTTCAAATTAAAGATGTATTAACTACACAATATTTGTTAAAAATCATTGAAATTTAGAAACAATATAACACATATAATGGAAAGGCTCATATACGATAACTATCAAATAATATA